CTCAGAGCTATAGTGAGGATTAAAGCGAGTCATGTTTGGGCCAGTGCTCCAAAACCATGTTATTATGATGATCCTCCTCCTTGTCCTTACTCCTCTGAGCCTTCCTCACCTGTAAACCAGGGAAGCTGATGGAGTCAGTGACATGGAGCATGAGAATCCTGAGATGGTTCCTGGGACACGTGTGCAACGAATGCGGGAGTCACCTGTATCAAGTACTTTCATGAATGAAATGCAACTGCAGAAGGCAGGCAGGAATGACAGAGAGGCTGAGACAGCAGTGAGGATGTGATGGTCCTGGAGTGAGCTTGAGCGTGGTTGTTCAGATGGTGGGCTTTGCTGTCATTCATTCAATGAATAAAACCACTAAAATCATTGAGCACTGAGTGCCAGGAGCCGTGGGCTCTGGGGATCCCACAGAGACTGGTCAGGCAGGGTCCTTGTCCTCATGGAGCTCACATACCAGTGGGGAGACACAGTCTTCAATTATCCCTGCAACTGAGCATAGGATTATGAAGTATGGCCCAGCGGTGAAGGAGGTGGGAGGTACCGTGGGAGGGCACAGTGAGGGGATACCTGGTCAATGGGGGAAAAGGGATGTCAGAGAAAAGACCTCCCTGAGGAGGTGGAGTTTCAGCTGACATTCAAGGGAAAAAGCCCGAGTTGGCTGGGCACCCCACGCTGGTGCTTTCAGGGAGGACGGTGGTGGAGTGAGGACTGCTCCTTAATGAGCAACTACCTGGAGGTTGGTGGGACTGGTGTTTCTCCGTTGGGACCCGTTCCCCGTGCTAAGCCTGCTCTGTGGTCTATCTTATGCCGTCCTCACGCTACAAAGGTGAGGAGACAGGGACCCAGAGAAACCCAGCAGCTGCCTAAGCTCCCAGCCAGGAAGAGGCTGAGCTGGCATCCCAGCGGGCTCTCTTGCCTTCCCTAGCACTGCCTCAGATACTGTTTTCCTTAGGCCCTGGAGCTGTGGAACACCACTGAGCCTCACACATTAGCAGCCTCTTTCAGTATTCCAAATAGCTTTCCTTAAAACAAGCTTCTTTACCTTCTTGGGGGACATTTTGAAAATGCACTGGAAGTTTTGGTTTGTCTTTTAGAAAAAAAAAATGCACCAAGCTAAAAAATGTTGCACACAGTACCAGGATTGCCATGGACCTCTTAAGGCATGCCCATGGGTTCAATGGTAAAACACTTGCTCTCCTGGGAAACTGGCTTTCAAGGAGTGTGACTTTAAAAAAAATTCATTTATCCATCCACCCAACCATTATTTACTGTGGGCCAACTATGTGCCTGGCACTGTGCTTGACTCTAGGGAATAACAGTCACCCTGTTCACCAGCAGCTTATCATCTGGCAAGGGAATCAGAATAAGGTGAAATAAACAAGAAACCAAATAACCATAAATTGTATTAAGGGGAAAAAGCTTAGTGTGAGATTGGAAATAGCAAGGAGGCCACATTAGACTGGGGCTAGGGAAGGTCTCAGGTGACATTCGAGCAGAGCCCAGGAGGAAAGGAGGTGATGGAGCCAGCCTTGAGTATCAGAATGTGGAAGGGGAGCCAGGCAGAGGGAACCACGATGGCAAAGGCCCTCAGGTGGGAAAGGGCTCAGCAGGTTGGAGGAAGAAAGGAAGACAGTAGTGGTTGGATCTACGGGGTGAGAAGTCTGTACCCATGTGCCCAGGGAGAGGGCCTGTCTCACATCCCTGGCTGCAGGAAGAAGCTGTCCAGTGGGACAAGGAGGCAGGAACCTCCCCTGGCAGAACTCTGGGCCAAGCAGGCTTATGCACACCTGTGATCTCCAATGGCCAGTTGGGGTGTCCACTTCCTCTCCTTGGGGCCCTAAGGAAATTCCAGGTCCCTAGCAAAAGGCAGAGGTCCCCAAACTCCAGGGAACAGCAGAGAAGGCAGAAGCATTAAATGCAGATTCCTGAATCTGATTTAGAAGGGGCTGGCGGAGGTACTGGGAGCTGCCTTTGGAATGAACACCCTAGAGAGATGATGCAGGGGGTTCAGTCCATACTTTGAGAATTACTCTTCTAAGGAATGGAATTCATTGTTCATCTAGTCATTCATTTGTTCCATTCTTTATATATATAATATATATGTGTGTGTGTGTGTATATATATGTACATATATGTATGTGTGTATATACGTATATACACGTATATACACGTATAACTTTAATCCAAAGACGAATTTCCTTAAAGTGGCAGGGGAGGACAGAGTGGGGACCATTTCTGAATGGCCTATTGGGTTTGACAAAGGAAGAGTTGACCGATTCTGGGTTCTGAGGGTGGCCTGGAGAAGGCAAAGAGAAAACGGAAAAACTGGAATTTCCAGGGGAGCATCACCAAATTTTGGAGAGAGAGATGGGACTTGTAAGAATGCAGATTCTTAGGTCACTTCTGATGCATTGAGTCAGACTCTCTGGAGGGGGAGCCTGGGAATAAGCTTCTGGACAATTCTGAGGCACACGGTGTGTGAAGATCACTTAGCTGAAATAATAACAGTGACCAGCTAACAGTTATTGAGTGCTGACTGAGCTCCAGGGGCAAGCTAAGTGCTTTACTTGTAATGACTTACTGAATTCTCAACACAACCCTTTGCAGTAGGTACTGTTATTATTGGCCTCCTTTTGCAGAGGCACAGAAATGTTAAGTAAAATCCCCAAATCTACCCAGCTGGGGAGGGGTGGGGCTCGGATGGGAACCAGGTAGCCAGGCCTGCAGGAGGGAGCTCCGAGGAGCTGCTGCTCATTCCCCAACTGCTCCATCCCACACCCCATTCTGCTGCTCAACATGATCCTCAGCCCTGTTTTCCCCAGCCACAGGCATTGCAAGGAGAGGCAGGAAGAATAATAAGGGCAGACCTATGTTGAACCCTGACTCTGGAGTCACTTGTCAAAGGACACACAGCTGGTAAATGTGGAGCTAGGATTTGATCTTGGGCCTTCTGGCTCTAATCGGCTCTACCTTGTTTCTGGATAAATTCACTTACAGCCCTTGACCTCCCCGCCGTCCCCGGGGTCTGCAAGCCTGTTCTGTCCAGCTGCATTTCCTCTTATATACTACAGAGGCTACTAAGATTCGTGGGACACATATGGCCAATACCAACATTTTCAGTGTGTTGATCCACCAGATGGACTGAAGACTGCAGGTCTCACCATAACCATGAACACTCTGGACCACAAGGGGGCAGGAACCAACCTGTCAAGCCCCGAGGCTTACCTAGCAGGAGTGTTCTCAGGAGGAAAGAAGGAAGGCAGGTCATTAAGGATAACCAGCCAGGCAGAGCCTCACCTGCCCTTAAATGTCAGCCAATAAGAAGAGGAAATGGGCATGGGTCCTTCTTTTAAAAATGCACATTCAACCTGTTTGATCATTAATTTTATTCTTCAAGCAACTTGGCTTCTCTTCTGCTTCCTGCTGCCTTTCTCAAAGGGACCAAACTTGCTTTCTGTCTTCTTCCATTTTCCGCTTTTGGATCCCAATTCCCCTTTTATTAATTTTCTCCAACATGTGTCACCCAATATTTGCTCATTTTGCTTTAGCTGATCCTAAATTCTCATGGTTGCTAGAGATAGCTGCAACACTAAATTTCTTCACTTGGATCCTCTGGGAATTGGGGACCTGTCTTTGGAAGAGGGATTGTGTGACTCTGGGGGTGACATTCTCCATGCTATTGTGCAGTGTGTGGCAGCTCCCAGAAGGGAGCGTTTATCAGGGAGTTGGCAGGTTTCACTGAGCCCCTCCATGTGCCAAGCAGTCAACAGGACAGATAAAAATCCAGTCCAGTGTTCAGCTCTGAGGTTGAAACAAGCTGAGGAGGCAGCACAAGAAAGCCAGTGTGACCAGAGCAAGTGAGACAAGGGGAAAGTGATGGGGACGGGGTCAGGAACATGCATATGGACACAAACAGTGTGCCCACAGGCCCAGTGAGTACCCAGACTTTCATTCTAAGGCAGATGTGGTTTGAGTTCTGACTCTCTCATTCTTAGAGGTGCAGCTTGCACACATCACTGCACCTCTTCGAGCCTCAGTTTTCTCACCTATTCA